TTTTGTTTTCCAGCATGGCAGCTTCACATTTAATATATTAATTGTAAGATTTTGAAAGAAAGAAAGAAAGAAAGGAAGGAAGGAAGGAAGGAAGGAAGGAGGCAATGATTCAGGAATTAGCAAGGAAACCATCTATGTGTATGCATAGTATGGAATCAAATCTTTATCTACCTCAATATTTCAAACACATATTAACTATTTTTTATATTTTTTCCAAATAATCCCATCTATTGCAGTATACAACTATAAAGCTAACTTATACTGATCCAAATCAGTAGATTAGAATGTCCTATTCTGCTCAGTTTATACCTTGTATGTTGGTTGCAGCAGCTCTTTACAATTTCCAGCAGAGATTTTACTTACCTCTTGGAGATAAAAGAATGAAGTAAAGTAATTAAGAAGAGATTGAATAAAATCACGAAAAAATGTTTTCCTACTTTGAAACTTAGTTCTCATATAGCAGTTGAGATAATAGTCTGATATTCAAATACACTACAGTAGAGTGAAGCTTGCAAATTAAAGATGGGATGGAGGAATCTGTGTATTTCAGCAGTGTAACCATGTCAATCTATTTTGGGAAGAATAATGGCAAGTTGTATAGCTAAGGTTAGACTAAGGATTAGTAATAAAATGGGCTGACATGAGAGAACAGTTTATGTTATCTTGAACTTATTTGATAAAGCAGACTAGAAATGTATAAAATAAATCAAGATAGAAATTCTCAAATGTTTAGTCCATAGCTAAAGCACCAGATTAGAAACACTATTTATTCTTCATAACTTGAATCACTTTTTGAAGCAACTCAGTTAATTGTCACAACACAACAGCATCTTAAAAAAAAAATAGAAAAAATTATAAGTTTTGCAGAATGGTTAGAAAGCATAACAAAATTCCAAGTGAGCTAATCATGATTTACTGAATTAATTTACTATGCCAGCAACATAAATTGATCATACTGGTTGTCTTTATGCAATTCGCAGAACCAGTAACTATGCTACATGACCCAGCCACTATGACAAATAAATGCTGTAGAATTAGAACTGCAATCATAGAGACTTAAAAAAATAATTTTTATCAGACCATTGAAGACTGCCACCTACTGAATAATCATCAATGCAGTTCACAGAACAACCAAATCAGTCATATTATCTTGCCTTTTGTTTCAGCAAGTATATTAAGATTATTGAAGTAACACTTACAGTATATTTATATGCTTTGTGAGCAAGATGGGTGGTCTCCAAATTTAATATATAAATAAAATAAAAATTAAATAATATTTTAAAATCATATATCCTGTGATTTATGATCATATCTTGCATTTTTATTGAGGGATGACCCTAAACATGCAAGTCCAATATGACCAAACAAAACAAAAAACATATTTCCAAAACAAATAAGCATCTGTCGATATTCTTCAATTCAATTGTGTTTAAATTATATACCAAGCAATCAAATTAAAATTTAAGTTTAAAAGTTTAAAAAGTATATCGTAGGTCTCCAACCTGGCTGTCTGCTAGCTGACAAACTCAAGTCTTTAACTGCTGAGCCTTCGCATCCCCATTTGACTGTGTTAACAAACATGTTAAAGTGGGTGGCATAATACAAGATACTGTGCATTTGGATTGTTGATTTGAGAAAACACAGCCAAAAGATAAAAGGACAATTGCTGAAATCGATTGAAACATGTTAAGAAAACAGAAAGTAGGACCATGTTGGAAATTCTCACACTGCTGAGATGGGGGAGCTTTTTCTATGCTTTGGACCATACTTTCTAACTTGCATGTAAATGACCTCAAATTAAGACTTAAGGTGAGATAGCTATTGTACAGAGTTACATATCAATCAAGCTACCCATTTTTTAATATGTATTATGCAAAATGTACAAGTTAGAAAAATACAGGTGGGTCTTAATTAGTATGATTAATGAATGCCACAAAATGGTTGCATTATTTCAATTTGCATTATTCAGTGATATAATGATTTATTCCCGCTTGAGAGAAATGGGTAATATAACTTTTTGGATGTATATTAAATATTATAGTAAAGGATAAAAAGAGTATATTTTAAATTTATGTTCACAAAGCCACAAAGTAGTTATAAAGTAAAATAAAAACAAAAAATTATACTACAGATGTTCAACACCTTTTTTTGTTGTTGTTCTAATGTAAAAAGCCCGTTAAACTTCTGCTACTTTCTTCTAATGAAATCTTATTTTTTTCATTTTGCACTCACAAAACTTAGCAGCATGTAAAACTCCTATAGTAACTTCACATGTGCTAAGCTTTTTTGCCGACCCACTAAATTTATATTGAACCTGAATTTTGGTTTACTTTAAATACAACCTGGTACCAGTGAAAAATTCACAGTAAACTGAATATTGATTTATTTAAACTCACACTAATCATGACTTACCTATATTAAAGTGAAGAAATTAAAAGCCTGTGATAACACAGTAATATATTTCTCATCCTCAATTCCACACATCCATACACTTTCATATATTGCCTTTTGTTCTTTAAACCTTTTGGTGTTTTTTTTCAGAATTTCATCAGCCTAAGACTTTCTAGGTCTTTCCCTTCTGCTTGATAGTTCATTCTTCCTTCATATATTTACTTTCTGATCTTAATTCGTTTTTTCTACATGGCAAAATCTCTTCATGCATTTCTTACATATTGATTACTCACTTCTTTATTCAATCAATATCCAAGGCATTATAAATTTCTACTACTAATTTCTATTCTTCCATTAAATTTTTATCCAATTTTCTTACCCATCATAATTAAGATTTTCTCATGGGTTAATTTTTACATAACAGTAATAATAGAACCATAAAAATTTAAAACCCATCAATCAAACAGCTATAAAAACAGAAGATCATTATATAACTCAAGCCCTCTCTTAAAATAATTTTTAATTAAAACTTTCATCACAATGATAAAAGTTGAATGAGAAAGAGTTCAATACCAAGCCATATGGTGCATTAAAAGTAAAAAGCAACACTTTCGAATTGCATGTGGAATATAACAAAAAATGAATGTGGCACTTGAGTGGCAGTTGTACTATGTTCTGGTTGTCTACCTATGACCTTAGATCCAGTCCATTAAATCTAGACTTATTGAAGCTCCCTGTGCTCTTCAAAAACATACATATATATGGCATGTTGCAGTATCCTGACCAAATAGTGAACTTTTGCACCTTTGCATTTTAGGTGACTATACTGTACACCATGCATTAGCTTTAGGAGCTGTCCAGGACCTATTGCTCAATGGTGTTATAGGATGATATAATCTTTAGAATGGTGTATATGTCCACACACACAACCATTTCAGAAAGATTCTATATACTGTATTCCTTCCTGCAATATCAACATTGAGCAACGTGTGTGTCCATTTCAGACAAATTGTTGTCTAGTAGCTTCCTAAAAATCTCCAGGGATGGAGCATCCACAACTTCTGAAGTTCCACTGATTGTTCTAAAGGTCAGAATTTTTTTCCACATTTCTAGGTTGGATCTCTCCTTAGTTTCCATTCTTTGCTTCTTGCCCTTCCTTCAGTTGCTTTGGAGAATTGGTTGATCCTATCTTCTTTGTGGCAGCCCCTTAAATATTGGAAGACTATTATGTCATTCCTAGTCCTTCTTTTCATTAGAGCAGCTCAATTCATGCAACTGTTGATTTTAGCCTAATTTGTTGCTCTTTTCTGTAGTCTTTATTTTTTTTGTATCATGGCAACTGGATACAATACTGGATGCAACTGTGATCTTACCTAAGAATTATGAAGCAATACTAGCACTTCATGTGATTGGAGTCTTTCCCTTATTAATGCAGCCTAAGACTGTATTGGCTATTTTGCTGGCTGCAGCACACTGCTGGCTCATATTTAAGTGGTGCTCCACTTAGATACAAAGATTCTAGGTATCTGAGTTACTGTTATTCAGTCGGCTACTATACCTGGGCATTTACTTTTTGTTTCTGACGTGTAAAACCTTAATTTTTTCACTATGGAATTTCATATTTGGGATAGGACCCAGTGTTCAAGTCTGTCAAGATCTTTTTTGATCTTGAGCCTATTTTCTAATTTGGTAGCTATTCCTTTATCTTCTGGATTGTTGGTTATTCCTACAAGTTGGGTGTCATTTACAAATTTGATGAATTTCCCTTCTAACTCATCTAAATAATTTATGAAGCTGTTGAATAATAGTAGGCCTGAGAGAGAACCTAGAGGTACCACACTGCATACTTCATGTAGATGTAGTTTCATTAAGGACTACATGTTGAGTATGGTTGGCTAGCTAATATGAATTCATCTGTTGGTGATGCCGTCTAACTTGCATTTTTCTATCTTACCAAGTAGTAGGTTGTAGTCTGCTTTAACAAATGCTTTAGTAAAGTCCAAGTAAATTATGCCCATAGCAGTTTGCTGGTCCACTTATTAAGTCACTTTGTCAAAAACTGTAACAAGATTTGTCTGGCATGATGTTTTTGACAAACCCATGTTGGTTTCTAATTAGAACTTTGCTTGCCTTTAGATGTTCACAGATTCATTGCTTAGCTTTTCCAGGATCTTCCCAGGCTTTGATGTCAGGCTGATTTGTCTATATTTTCGATCTTTTTTTTTTCTTTTTTGAAGATGGGACCGTCAGCTCTCCTCTCTAGTCCTCTGATATTTCTTGGGTGCTCCAGGATCTTTGAAAGATTGTGTTCAGTGGTTCTGAGATCACGTCTGCCAGCTCCTTCAGAACATCAGAACCAAGATGTAATCCATCTAGACCTGTTGATTTTAATTCGTCCAGAGTGGATAAGTATTCTATTACCATTTTTTAAAACTATTTTGACTTGTATTTTTAATATGTTTTTACAATACTGTTTTGATAGGTTGAATATGGATATGAGAGTTAGGGAGGTTACTATATAAATAAACCCTTTAATAAAACTTTTGACAAAAACATAAGCAGAAACACAAAAACTAAACAAAATGGAAGAAATCAGAAAAACACAAAAATATTTGAAGGGAACCTCAACAGGTACCAGGAAATAGGTTTATTGAAAGGCAGTGAACTGATTTTACGTTTAGAGTTCTGGTGTTTTTTTCAATGTGGCATCATTTATTTTTACAGTAATTCTCAGAAATGAGATGAATTGTAATTATTATGTTGATTTTTTAAATAAAAACTTGTTATGGTGAACTTCAATAATCCATTCTATTAATCCAGTATGGTACATGGAATTACTGAACTATATAAAAAACCAAATAATCTGACAATTACGTTTTACATGACAAGATTCCTTATTGCTCACCCAAACATAATATAATCAAAGCCAAATGAATAATGCTAGTTGCATGCACTTGTACTTAAAAATTAATCACATATATAGTAACCCTATTTGGATGATCAAATTGTAATTTAACAATTGACCATGTGATATATATATATGCTGTATATTCCAACAGATTCCTCTTTTCTGCAGTTCCATGCCTCAATTTTGCTATCTACATAAATCTATCAGGCAATCAATTAAAATAATTTTATTTGGAAGTATATTGGGATTAAGAATAATAGTTCCTAAAGAAGTCAAGCCTAAGACATCAATAAATTATTAACTTGTAAAGTATCAGATATACAGTTTAAGGGATTAAGTCACAATCTGATTACTCAACCATATATTCTGAGTACTTATAACCAAGTCTGCATACTAGTCTTAAAAATTATATAAGGAATTATATAATTATAAGGAAGCAGCTTATAAACATCTACGGGAGAAAACTATAAATTTCATTTTAACTACCTATTTAAAACAGGATTTTTTTTGGTTTTTTTGCAAAAAAGCAAAACTGCCTCTATCCTTTAGTGGATATTTTCCATATCAAAATAGCTTTCAAAACCTCTTAACCTTCCTACAATTTGGTAAAGAAAGCACAAGAATATGAAACTATTTTATTGGTAACTGTTCAGCAGTATATACAATAAAATAAAATACAATATGCACTTTCAAATTAAACCGAAATTTTCACTTGGTCCCCTCTGAACCAATTTGCCACAAATACTAAATATAATGGTTTTACAGACTATATGGTGGAAAAAAATGCATGCACATTTGTTGTATAGAGAACTACAAAACACTTGTAAATCTGAATAAGTTGCCATTAAGGATCACTACTAACTACCAAATTTTATAAAACATTTGATTTAATATGCAGAAAGCAGTATCAAATGTTTTCTTGTAATAAAGAAAGTGAATAGCACTTTTGCTTTCTTCCTTATGCAAAACATATTACTTTTAAAATAACCAAACTTATCTCAATTGGAATTATAAGTTTTCCACATGTATTAAGTAAAATATCATACATATAATTAAGAAAAAGGGGGAGGGAAAGGAGAAAATCCAAACAATTATTGTGCTTCATCCTCTGGGCAAGAATGCCAAGTTAATCGTTCTTCATAAAAAGCAATTACAATCTGAGGACATTTCACATTAGCTTCCTTAGCTAATACCAGGTCAGCTTCATCTGAGTCTTTCCTGTTTTAAGAAAGAATGTCCAATTAATATATTAAAAACTATTTATAATGTCAATTGAAGACATCCTTGACTCACATAACCATGTTTGTGTCCTACTATTAGTCTTTACAATTTATTTATTTAACAAATTTGTAAACTTCCCATCTCACAAAAAGTGACTGGGTGATATACAATAATCCTTCCTTTTTAGCTTTCACATTATTAGCAGCATTTATGACATTAATAATGCGTTATTATCCCTAAGCTTTGGTGATCTTATTAATACTTGATTTTAACTAAGCATATGTATAAATTACATATATACCATGTATAACAAGTCAGAGTGATATTATTTCATTTCTTTAGTTAGAACTCCACCTAATCATGGCTCAATTGCCATGAAATTAAAATCTCCACTTGGTTCTCTGGAGTGCTAATCTTAATCATAACTACTAACATCTTTGAGAGTACTGCACATAGCTTAACCTTGTTTCAACCTATTTCAAATTTCAGGCAAGTAGATTTGAATGTATAAGAGTTTTATGCTTCAAAAGAGATGCTATGAAATGTACAACAGCTCCTATGAAATATGTCTTTAAATAATTAAACACAGTTATTTTTTTTGTATCAATGCAAGTCTAAAAAGGTATTGCTGCCTCAATGATTTCAATTTTTATGTATTTCAAAGCATCTCCTCTCCTTTGATGGAATCTCAGCTCTTATATTATTTAGGTAAGTCAGAGAATTACAAAAGTTTTAAGAACTCCTACTCTAATCATTCAAAATCTGTTAGTCTCTGATAAGGAGGCTGATAGCTAACTTTGACTAAATTCTAAATCAATAGGATTGAAATGGTAATTTATTAATAGTTACCAACTGTTAAAGATCTAATGAGAATTAATCACTAGTCAGTGTAATGTGTTCCCAAAATCAAGTAGAAAGAAATTAGGCTATTGTTGTGTTATCCCGGGTTCTTGTATGCCTTACACAAGAACAAAATATTTTTAATAACTATGGACAGATATAGTAATATTACAAGTCAGATTGTTTACCTGTATTAAAGTTATAATACATTTTCTGATTTCTAAAATAGTATGGTGTGATTTATCAATACTAAAAAAAAAGAAAAGCCAACCTAACAATATCCCTTAAATGTTATTGGCTATTTGTAGTAACAGAAAAAATATTTCTTAAATTTAACCGAAGGCACATTGTAAACCAAACATTCTAGTCTGCTGCTCACCATTTCATAAGGAACATAAGTTCTCCACTGCTATCTGTGGCTCCAATTATTCGTTCAGGATCAAGACCTCGTGCAAATCCCCTGGGTTTATCAACCTGTTGGAGTAAATATTTAGAGAATTATAAATCCTTCTATTATCTTTTGATTTATGGAAAAAAATCAGCATAAAATCTATCAATGCATTCAGAACAGTATAAAAGAGAGCTAGCCTGTGGACCACATACATTTCTCAAAGATGATTTGCAAATCCTGCCCTAAGTTTTAAGAATCCTGTTGACCAGCTTTTTCTTATTATCATCTTTCAGAGAAGTTCAATATTACCATTCTTCATTCTAGGACTGAGGTATCCTAGCTTCAAATCCTTTCCCAAGAAATTTCTCAGGAATGAAATGACGATAAGTTAATTGTAATAACATATATTCAGAAACAGGATTGCTGAAGAAGAAACTGGGAGCACACAGAGGGATCCAGCATATGTGTACATAAAAGAGGATTAAATTTGTAAAGTAGTGCATTATGCCTGTGACATATGTTAGGAATGCCCCATGAAAATTGAGCCTTTAATAAGGAGCTAAGACATAACTATTCCTGGTATATATGGTCTTCCCTTGCCTTTTCTCTATTCAGATCTGAATGTCTGTTTAATGTTTTCATTAACTTACAGAATCCCTCTTTTTCTTTGATTTGCTGTCCTCAGATTCACTATCTGAAAGGGATTTTCTTTTGGTACCTTCTGTTTTTTCTTTACCAGCTTTCTGAGAATTCAGAAAAGCTTCTATTAACTCTGGACAATCCAAATTTTCTTCAGGCTCCCATGTGTTATCAGCACTAAAAAAACAATTTGGTAGGAACAAAAAGTAAAAATCTGTTATCAGAGCTAAATCTGAAGGTCCACAAGTTATAGTTATACATGAAAATCCAGATTATCTGCTTAATTCCTAGAACAATTCTATTTGTTTTCAAAACCCATTTCTATAGATTGGTTCCTAAAGTAGCTAAACCAAGTTGAAACTATACTGGGTAATTATTTCAGTCAAAATGTATTAACTATATTATAGAATGTCACATGCAGTTCCAAGGCAGTGATTTTGCAGTCAACTATTATTGCTAAAACTTGACAATGGCAAACACACACACATCATTTTCTGAAAAAAAATGTGATTTTTTAAACCTAGAAATCCAGGAAAAAAATATATAACATAGTATTTCTTCAATTCATTCAAAAATATAAATTGAGGCCATCGGTTACCGAAATGTTGTTCTTCTACACACTGAACAATGCAACGTCATGTAATATGACAAGTGGCCTGTAGAATACACTCAAAATAACAATACGAGAGAATTTAAAAAAATTAGTAAGCAGAAAAATGAATTCTAAAGTATTTACCACTTGTTTCCTTTTCCTGAAATGCTACAGTATAATGTAACCTAATATTACAATTAACAGAAGGAAAAAGTTAATCAATTCTCACTGTCAACTTTTAAATACTTTGCTGCTGATTTGAGTAATTTTATGTGCTATAAATGAGCATTATACTTTGATAGCATGAACTATAAGTTCTCTGCTTTCTTCCCTACAATTGAAGAGTATTCCTGGAAGAAATATTAAATCTTCAACAGTACACACTAGAGAATAAATCCTTTGAACAAAACGATGCCGACTTCTTAGTAAGCATGTTTAGGACTGCATATACACTGAAGACTTCCAGCAGACAGATTATTCATAGGCTATACAACTAAAGCACAATCCAGTGGAAAATGCAGCATTTACCACACTCTACTGATATTAAGCAGGGAAGCCAGTTTTACATTGAAATACCCTGCCTATTTTCCATACATCCATAAGTTCAGAGTAGCGATATATAAACTTGACTTTTCATATACTGGAATTGGTGGTAGCAATATTTTCACACCATCTTTGCAGAATTCTTCAATTTAACACTGATATTGAAAATATTTTGGAAAAAAAATGTATGAAGTTCCTTACTCAGTAAATCCCTTCCATTTTAAGAAGTACTCCACCTTCCCATTAACTACACGTCGGTCCAGGACTTTTTCCACAACAAATTCTTCAGGTTCTGCTTCTTCAACTTTTTTACCTTTGCCATTCTGTTTCTTTCCCATTTTATGCTATAAAACAAAATCATTTGCACACATACATTTAATACCCATGCTGCACCTTTATTTTAATCGAGCAGAAACTTTCATACTCTTTTCAGCAAGACCTAGATTTATTTTAAACAAGAGCTTTTGAGATCTGTGCATTTCTTGTCAATTTCTTATTCGAGCAGCCTAAATATTTTATTCAGAATTGCTGTTAAGATATTTCATTTTTATCGGTTGTTTAAAAAAAATCTTGTAAACAAAAGGCAAACAAAACAAATTTGGGGTAAATACTAGAAAGAGAAGAGAAGCAATCTATAGATTGCAATGTTAATAGCAATCATCAGCCATTAAAAGCAGTTTTGAAGCTTTCAGTTGCTGGGTATGAAACATTTATCTTATAATTACATACATGCATCATTTCAACTTTCATTAGAATTGAAGATATACATTCAAGAGTTAACAGAACTTTATTGAAACTTCTTGACTGACATAAGAACTTTTGTATCAGCAATGTTAGCACTAATGAACTTATTTAATCAAGCTCAAGAAGTTTAAAAGATTGAAAATGGCTTTACATTAAATTCTATAGAAAAGCACTTAGCAGCCAATTATTAGATAGCAAGTTAATACATCCACATCATCCTCAAAGCATTCCAAGTTTAATAAACACAATTCAGCAAGATGTTATTGTCTGCAATTTCTCTATACATTGTCTTAAAATCAGTTTATTACTGTAGAAGTAGTTGCAGTTCTTTTAGAAACAAATGCAGAGCCTGGTCATAATTTTGGATGCAAGCCATAATGGATAGTTCAAAATAGGTAATACAGTGACAGTAGAGGTCTCACAAATATACTGAGCCTCCCAAATATATGAGAAAAACCAGATTAAGAGAAACAATGCTAAGGTCTCCCAATTTCAAGTTTCATTAATACAGGGCCAAAACTTTTTCTTTAGAACTGTGTCCTTATGACATCTTTGAAAATGAATATCAAAATGTTTTGAAATCAATATGATAGTTTCTTTCATTCTGAGCAACTTTAATAAAGGCTAATGTTAAATACTCCACTCACCAATACTAACAAAACTATGTATAAATGAGTGATCAACATTTCTAAAAACAGTGTGAATGAAGAAAGATGATTATTGCTTTGATGGGATGACAATTTTGAGAAAATTGGAATATATTCTTCATCCACATTATTTAAAATCTTGGGAATATACAACAAAAAATTTCAGAAGGTAAAACATAAATACACACATGGCATTTTACTATATTTTCCAATCCCTCTATATATACATTCCCACTTCAAAACAAGTGCTTTCCAGCCATATTTTAGAATTCATTTTTATGTATAATGCTATGCTTAATTCTATATTCAATCAAATCTATCAAGTTAAAATAGTATGTCAAGCAGACATTCAGTATTTGCACCCTTGGCAATGATTTAGAAGCAACATTAGTGTTGTCTTTTCTGTACTATAGATCAGTGTTTGTCAACCTTGGCAACTTGAAGATGTCCGGACTTCAACTCCCAGAATTCCCCAGCCAGCGAATGCTGGCTGGGGAATTCTGGGAGTTGAAGTCCGGACATCTTCAAGTTGCCAAGGTTGACAAACACTGCTATAGATAATGCACCAAAAAATAGAAGGTTTTTATTCTGCATACAAAAGTACAATCCTATTTTCACTTAGCTGATGTACTAAATATACACGAGATTATTAATAAAATTACCCCATTTTCTAAGCTCGATATAAAAATGAGGTGTACATCACAGCATTTGTGGAAAATATTTACTGGCGTCAGAATCAATATATTTTTCTCTAATTTAACAGCATTTTTACAGGTACAACTAGTTCAAGTGTTTCAAAATTATTAGCCAAAGCACATGTCTTTTTAAGAAAGTAGATGAAAAGTGCACCTTAAAAAAATAAATTATATTCTATTTCCTTCTTCTACATCTGAAGCAATTTCTCTCTACAAATAGCAATATTATACTAAAGACACTAATAAAGATGTACTGTATTTTAGTGATATGGATTCTGAAATGATTAGACTTGCTGGTCAAGGAATGACTACAATGGACCTTTCTTCATCTTTTTAGTGCAAGCTCTCCCACCCAATAAACCATACCAATCCATGAAAAATTAAGTTTCATTGTTTTTAATGGAGAGTTGTCCAAGCCAACTGCAGTCCTATTCACATTCTTCTGAGAACAAAGCTCTTCAAATCAAAGGAACTTCATACTGGAACAAATTCTAAAAATCAACTAATAACTGGATCCTTGCTGCTCTTCGAGCTGTGCTGTTTTCTTGCAGAAGTTTCATTAACCAGACTAGATAACCTCAGTGATAGCAAGGAGTATAGTTTGCTCTCAGTTTAGTGGACAGTAGGCAGGCTAGGGCAGGGTTCACCAACCTTTCGAACCTCGGGGACCACTAAATTCATAATCTTAAATCCTGTAGACCACCAATATGAATTTTTTTAAAAGATAAATAGTATTTAGTGCAATATAAAAAATGTGAATATTTTTTTCCAGTAGCTGACCACTGGGCTAGTGGACATAGACAGGCTTGCCTTAGAGGCTCTTTGGTTGGCCTCTTTACTATTGGCTTGTTTGGCAGTTCCTTGATTAGGGTATTTACTTGATTAATGGCCTGTTGTTAATCTTGGGACTTAATCCATGCCCATCTGGGTGCTGATTGCTGGTGGGAAGATGTTTTGGTCTTTTTGTTCTCTTTTTGGCTTGTTGATTGTCTCTTTTGCATAGTATAGATACTGTTTATCTACTTATAGAATGCCAGTCTTCTAGAAATTCCCTAGTGTTTTTAGACTTGGCTTGGTCTGGAATGGTCATTTTTCCTGTTGAACCTATGGTTAAGTCTGTCCATATATTGTAAAATTAAGGGGTTTTGTCTTCTGAGTGCTGGCTGGTGTTCATGTATGCTAATTTTCTGTCTGTTTGTCCTATGTAGTGGCTGTTGCAGTCTCTACACTCTATGTTGTAAATGACTCTTGTTTTTTCTTCTGAGGCTGCTGGATCTTTTGGTTTAGTTAGGATGTTTTGAAGGGCTTGAGTGGTACGCAGATTCCATGGAGTTGTAGTAGTCTGTTGGTGGTTTCTGAGATATTTATGATGTATGGCACTTTTACTTCTTGTAGGCTTGTGTTCATTGTGCTGTATTGGGTCGGGTGTCATACACTTTTTGATATAGGTAGGTTATCAAAGCCACAATTTTAACTTTGACCATCCGAAACCAAGCCAAGTTTAAAAATGCTAGGGAATTTCTATGCAAATGAGACAATCAGCAAGTTGAAAAGGGAACAAATGAAAATGCCTCCCCACCAGTAATCAGTTAATCAGGAACATTAATTAACTGCAAGATTAACAGTCAAATAAACAATACCCCAACCAAGGAACTGCCAAATAAGCCCAACTAAACAAGCTCTAAGACTCCCACATGGACAAGAGCAAGCCACGTAAATTTAGATTGAAAGCAAACCCACTCCTTCACTAGCAATGTTACCTAATTTAGGTAATGAAATATCTGCAAGAAAACAACCAAGTTCAAAGAGCACAAAAGACCCCTCATTTCAACCCTGAGCTACAAATATTCTCCTTTATCAGCTAATAGACCTTGCCCATTGATTCTCATCATCAGTGATGCTCACTGTTCCAATATATAATCTTCCCATGATCTAATTCTTACAAAAGGAAATAAGAGATTGTCAGTCCCAGGAACTGTGCCAGATAATATAATTTTGAAACTGCAATGGGGGTCATTCAATGTCAAGTGATCTGATTTCAGAAAAGTGCCCCACTGGACCATCATGGATTTCAATGCAATTTTGTGTGAACATGCACACATGTTCCCAATAAATATTGGTAAAGTGTTACATGTACCAATGCAATACTTGCAGAGAAATAATCATGTTTGACCCATACTGCAGCCTTCTACAGTATGACTCTGAGGTTCCAGCAACTTTGAGAGATCATATCTCTGGCAACATTTTGTTGAGAGAAATAAAACGTGGCCATCTTATACAACTTTTTGTTCTCTATGAAACAAAATAATAAAAACACTCTCGTGAGTGATCACCATCTAGATAATTTGGAGCAAAGTTGGCCGAAAATATTGTGGCTCGAAAAAAGGTTAAAGTTTTCGAAAAAAGGTTAAAGTTTGGCTTTTTATATCTCTGGAAAGAAACATGAGAAATGTGAAACTTTTTGCGTAATAACTTAGCAACACAAGTTTTTTTTAATATAAAATTTCATTCTACTACTTTCCAATAGTTTAAAAATTGAATGTAAAGTTGATTTTTTTTGGTGTAAAAACGTCCAAAATAGGATATTTACACCAAAAAAAAAAAAAAAAACTTCTGGAAACTTTGCTAAATCATTCTCATTAGAAGAAGCATGTTTCAACCCCCTAAAAAAGTAGGATTGGTTTTTCATCATTCACGTATAAAGCCCTAAAAATAGAGACAAAGTCGAGGATGTTGTTATAGCAACGTCACATGCATTCTATTATTTTTTTGTTTTGTTTGTCTTAGACATCATATATGGAGAACTATCAGAAGCAATGCTAAAGAACATGGCGCGTAAATTCAATGATAAATAAATGATCATTGGAATTTAGCTGTTCACACGAACAGTACGGACTTCAGCTTGCAAACCATATAACATACCCACTTTGGGCTTGGGAACCTAAGATAAACTGCCCAATGATTGGCTTGGGAACCAAACAGATACCCACACAAGGTTTTGGAATGTCGAGGAAGAAACCAAGCTACAGGCTTGGGATCTTGAACCAAGAAAGCCACCCATTGCGGGCAGTGCATGGCTATTGGGTGTGCCCCCTATGGTGATTGGGTTGTTGGTTGAAATGCCTGAACTGATAGTGACAATGTCACCATGGACCAACCCAATAGAATAGTAGATTTGATGTCCATATAAAACAAACAAGGTGAAAAAATAATAGAAGGCATGTGATGTTGCCATAGCAATGTCCTCAACATTGTCCTTATTTTTAGGGTTTTATATGTCAGCAATGAAAAACCCACCTTACTTTTTTAGGGTTGAAACATGCTCTTTCTAATTAAAATGTTTTAACAAAAGTTTTCAGGCCTTTTTTTTTTTTTTTGGTAAAGTGTGCTGGAAATACCCTTTTTGGCACTTTTACAAAAACCATCAACTTTGCACTCAATTTGTTAACTATTGGAAAGCTGCAAGAGAATGAAATTTTATATTCGAAAAACTTGTGTGGCTAACTTATTACACACAAAGTTTCACGTTTCTCATACTTTCGTTTCAGAGATATAAAAAAACCAAACTTTAACCTTTCTTCGAGCCACAATATTTTTGGCCAACTTTGCTCCAAATTATCTAGATGGAGATCGCGCATGAGAGTGTTTTTATTTTGTTTAGTAGAGCACAAAAAGTTATACCAGTTGGCCAAGTTTTGTTTCTCTCAACAAAATATTGTCAGAGATATGAGGTCTCAAAGTTGCTGGAACCTCAGAGTCATACTGTTGAAGGCTACGGTATGGGATCAAACCAATGACTATATCTCCACAAGTATTGCATTGGCACATGTAACACTTTACCAATGTTCATTGGGGACGTGTACATGTTCACAGAAAATTTCATTGAAATCCATGGTCGAGTGGGATCCCCATACCACTTGACATGGAATGACCAAAGGACCCAATCCCTTCCCTTCTATCCCACAGTATCTCCTCAAAAATATCTGAAATACAATTTTTAAACTAATATTTTACATTAACTTGGTTAGTTTTGCATCTGTTCCTTTAGTTTTATAATCTGTATAATAACTTACACAACTCTGCAAGTAGCAATGCTTAGCTGACCTTATTTAGGCTTAGAAATGAAACAGAATCAGGCATTAATACTTGAATGGGAAGCCTTTTGAGCTGTTGGCTAAACTGGGAGGTAAAAAAAATACCCAGGGGAGCAGCAGGGGCAAACCACTTCAGTCCTCTTGCAAAGAAAAATGCATGGACATTCTGCTAAATCATCATCAGAACTTGAAGAGATTTACACAGTTGTCACTTTTCAATATAAGAGAAACAAATTACTACCGTATTTTTCAGAGTATAAGCAGCACCTTTTTCTCTCAAAAAAGAGGCTGAAAATCTGAATACAGCATTTTTTTGCTTCCTGAAACCCTGCCCCTTCACCAAAATGGATGTGTGTAGCTTGTAGGAGACTTTCAGAGAGTTCCTGGGGAATGCAGAAATGAGGAAAAATCGGGCCTTTATTTGTTCAATTCCCCCCCCCCCAGGAGCGCTCTATAAGCTTCCTAATGCCTTTTTAAATAAAGTGGGCTCCTTTTGTGCTTGTCCCCCCCCCCCACTCTACAAGCCTCCTAGGGGCTATTCATGCCCTTTTGGGGGGGGGGATGGGGCCATTTTCAGGAGGTCTGCAGAACGCAAAACTTTTTAAAAATTTGCCTCTTCAAAACCTTGATGCATCTTATACTCCGAAGAATACCGTATATAACCACATTATTGAAACTATTCCCCAACAAACATGCAAAATGAACCAACATAGCATATTGTTGGAGCCAGAATATTCACATTTTTAAGATGCCATATTTTTAGTTATGCTGTGGAGGAGAGATGTGGATGTATCTTTTGCAGAGATGCCAACAATAAATCTGAAGAAATATGATGGTAAAATCCTTACATATTTTAGACAGTCAAGAACTTACCAATGTAGATTTATTGGTGGCCATTTTTATTGAAGACTTGCTGAACTTTTACTAGAAAAATGCATGACAAAAGGAATGTTGCATTATATAAAGGAAGGCATCTCAATACAAATATGGTTCTTTTTCTATTCAGTTTACTTACATAGATACACACATCATTAACAAAGGCTGAAATTGTGTTTCCAACATCCTAGGCATTATTTGGAGTTTCCTAAGACCTACCTTGGCTTTTCAGGATCTTTTATATCATACATGGTAATCTAATACTGAGCACAATTTTATAGGAAAACCTTATTTTCAAAACCTTAAGACAATGTGCTATGATAAAATATATTTTGAAGAGTAAGATGCAATATTGTAGAACACTGAATTTATTTCAATGTATGAATAGTAAATAATCATAGAAAAGGATTTCAGAATTATAGTTGCCTAAGGTACAGATACAACTGTGCATCATAAATATGGTAATCATAATACAAATTTAACCTAATATATAAGCCATTGGACGTCTGCAAATCGATTGTCCTCGAACTCCTCTAAAATTTAAAATTCGGAATGATTTCTTTCCAAACCTATAAAGAACATAAGTCATGAGATTCAGCAAAGAAAAAAAAACAAAACAAAAACCAAGACACAAAGCCTGGCATCTCCCAGAGGCTTTTTCACAGCCGGTTTAGGTCACTGAGATTCTGCACCGTATTTTCCCATTTTAGAATAAATGGACGTCTGCCGTAAAGGAAAACTGTACAGGGCGCCCTTAAGCACGAGGCACGCAAGCGAAGGCCGGTGGGAAGGAAATGATCCCGGATGAGAATCCCATAATAAGCCAAGAGCGCAGAATGTTGGGCCAGGAAAGGTGGCAAACAACAAACCACCTCCTTCAGGGCGACTCCCTGGCATTACCCCCACTTCGATAAGCTCATGCGTCGCCCCTCGTCCGCCAAGCACAAACCGCATCCATTTGAATTGCTAAAAGCCTCGGCGGTTAGTCCTTTTTTTTTTTTTAAATCAAGTTCACGCCTCCAAATCCTGCTTTGCCCGCGGCCTGGACCTTGCTGACACGCAGGAAAGCGGGGGAGGGAAAAGGTCTGCGCTCACTAGTCATGACGCCTTACTGGGTTTCAGAGGTGTTTTTTTTATTTCAGCGGTAAAATAATAACAATAATAGTAATAATAATAATACACGCGGTTTGCCAATCTCGGAGCTCGATCGCTCCCGTCCCGGCTTGTAGGAAAGAGCCAAGCAGGCGGAAGGCCCGCCACAAGAAGTCGGAAGGCCGCACTGGGAAACCCCGCGCCTCTTTTTCAAGCTTTTCAATCCGCCCGGGAGAGGGAGCCGCGAGAGAGAAAATGGAGGAGAGCAAAACGAGGCCACGCCTGGTCCTTTCTCGGGAGTTACATAAAATGTAAGCTCGGCACGAGACGCACACACACACACACACACACAAACACAGAGATCCCCCACCGGTTCTCTCCTACGTTGAAATTTATCACCGAATTAGGAAAGACCTGAAGGAGCGGAGAAGGAAAAGGAGGGAGAAAGATACGGACTTCAATGGTGGCCAACGACTCCGATCCCCCTGTAGTCTCCTGGCTCCTGGCGCGCTCTGAAGCAGCAGCAGCGACATATGAGGGGGCGGGGAAAAGGGGGCGGGAGAGCGGCAGAGGCAGCCCCGCCCGCAGCGCCTGCTAGTGCTGCGGCAACCTGGGCAGAAGGCGGGGCCGGCGCAGCAAACGCCACCCTCTTTCGTTCCCGCCCTTCATTGCGTCGCCAGCAGAGTCGTTGGCCGCTCCGCGCACTCTTCTTGCCGCCGCCGTTGCGTACGCCGCGCCCAACCGAGGAGACCGTCGGACAGAGGCGAGCCGGTAGGGTCGCTTCAGCAGCTGCAACGGCCAGAAGAGAAAAAAATTCGCGTGCTCCTTTCTTTCTTTTTATTAATCGCCGGCCGAAATGCCTCGCGGAGATCGGGAGAGCGATTGGGTGAGTGAGGTAACGGACGGCGTGGTTTAGTAATGGCCGACTTCTCTCCCCCCACATTCATTGTGTCCTTAACGGGTTCTTTCGCGGGCAGTGGGCGGGTAAGTCTTCCAAAGCCAGGAGGAAGAGAAAATGGCGGGCGAGGGGCGAAGGGGAGGGGGGGCTAAATCCGATTCTCAACGCTTTTAAAAGCGGCGCGGAAGATTGTGGAGGGAGGCAGGCGAAGCCATGAGTGTTTAATGGCGGCCTGTTGCACGTTGGCTTCAATGTTTCCCTCAGGCGCTTATCTGGCCGGCAGATACAATAAAATGCAAAACACGGAAACAATGCACAGGCGGCATTTTCCCCTGTAGTATATTTAAATGTCCAAAAAGAATATTCATTTATACATTTACTCGATCTAGCAAATAAGATGGTAGGTTAAAGGGAAAAATGGAGTCTTCATTATCCGTAACATTTTGGCGCGATTATTGTTAGCCGACCTTCTGAGGCAATTTACGGGGGGGAAATTTGGCGATCTGCTTTTATTGCTTTTGGATTTTCCAGGAATTATCGAAAAGGGTGCAGATGATGAATAATAATTGCTTTTCTCTGATTTTTCGGCCGTGCTCGAAAGCAGCCGGTTGCATCCGTAGACTAAGAAAACTCTTGATGACTAGACGATTTTTATTAATACAGTTTTGATACTATATTTAATTATAGTTCACATTTTATAGTATATAAATACACAAATACACGAGTAATTTATATCTGATTAATTACATCATTGTTTCCAGTGTATACTACAAGTGACGAATAATTTACAAGTATTTACTCAAAATTCTATACACCACAATGTTTCACGTGGTAATTATAACCCTAAAATAGGATAGAGTTCTGTGAATATTTAAATACGCAGGAGTTAAGGCCGCCATTAGTGATGGAGTCGTATTCTGAAACGGCATTGCGCGAAATGTGTAGCTGATACAATGTGGAAATAAAAGTTCGTAGGGTTGTTGCGGAAACGGCTATCTGGATGGCGCGTTGGTGCCTGTTAAGATACTAAAATGCGGCACAATACGCCATTAGCGTAGGATCTAGAGATGACGCATAACTTGTTCGTTGGAACACTTGGTGGCGCAATTGGCGGGACTTGGTGTCTTACAAGGAAGACGTTAATGGAGAGGAAGGTTCTGGAAGGGCCGGCGGCCGTTGGGAAAGGGGAGGGGACAGTTGTGGCGAATTCATCTGCTTAAATCCGTCCAGTAATATTTAGCTCTACCGACGATGACAGGAGAGCAACGGATTTAAAAGTCCTAAATGAATGTCCAGGGCGAAAGCGCAACTTCGATACCTCTTTAATACAGTACTACAAAGGGAGGGCAGAACGCATGCGCAGACGGGAATAAAGTACTCCTGGGAACGAGTCTCCTCCCTCCCTCGGTGTTCGTCGGCGCCATTTTCTCTTATAGTCCGCTGAGGAGCTCGGGTTGTCGGAACCGTCACATGGCGGAGCCATCTTCGGTTGGGAGGCGGAGACTCGGCAGGTCTCAATGTTAACCGCTTCAGAAGTGAACCCAACTTTTTCAAATGATTTCTTGTCGTTTCACAATCACACTAAGGCTGTAGCCGGATAAATCGCTATCTGAAAATTTCCAATCATATATTTTAATGTCTGCTTTTGCAGGAAGTTGCATATAAATTTACGTATCTATGTTTTAGTCTAGAAAATTATGCAAACCAACTGCTTTAATTATAGTTCAGTTAGAAATTAGATTTGTAATGTATATTGTGTATAGAAATTTTGGTACAATTTTTTTTGGGGGGGATCAGGTTTTTGTAGGTTATGAATGGACTAACTGAAGGATGACCAATGGAAGAACATTGAATGGAAGAGTTGTTAGTCTATGATGATAGACAAATTACTATCAGATTTCTGAATTTTAACTAACAATGTTTATTAAAAGCATAGGCTTTCTTGAGTTTTTTTCTATATTTGTTGGAAACATTGCTATGACAACCATTTTGATATAAGGATAATACACTAACTGTGACATGGGAAAATTTCTTATTTTTGAAATGTTAGATATGTACAGAACAAAATTTCCATTCAAAAGTTTCTAGTATGACATCTTGGTTGATTAGAGAATAATGGATAGATTTCTGCAATAGATCAAGTTCCTTTGAATCCCTGTTCTGTTAGGATTAAGGACAGAAAGTGCAAAAACTGTATGGCTCAAAAGGCCTGCATAGAATATCTGTTTTAAAACAATAGAATTATGTCGCCTTTTATTTGATTACTTATCATTCATTTTCTCAACTGGGGGACTAGCCAGTTCTCTACATCATCAGCTTGTTACATATCTAAGCAACTTAAAATTTTATCCTTTAAAAGTGTAATGTTAAAGTTCCAAATGTCAGGGAGTTTTTTATTTAACTGGTGATCACATTGTTATTTTAAAACTTTCTTTAGTCAGAAGGACCTACTCACAAATTTCTGTTGAAATATCTATCACAATAAACACCAGCATTTCTCCACTAAATCTTTAGAAACCTCAATACATTTGAATTAATATATTTGTGTGAATAAATAAAATTACAATTTAAATGAAGGAAGCAAAATTTTCTCTTCAAGTTAGTTACATGATTTGGTAAGGTGATTTGGTATTTTAATAATGATGGCACCTTGCAATTCATTTTTTTCAGTTGTGATAGCAGATATTCTATAAATTACCTCGTTCTGTATTGTAAAATGAGTATATGTTCTTTTATGCTATCAACTTTTGCATTTAAAATACAGCAAAAGTGTAGCAAAATCAATACTAAACATAAATATGTAGGAATTACAATTTTTGGAAATTTATTTTACTGTAAATTTTTCATAAAATGTAAGGTATATATACATACACGTGCACTCCTAAGTTTAGATTATTCTATAGTTTATCTATATTGCTCAACATTGTTTTAAAAAGCCAATATTGTAAAAGGTGTAAACTTGAGTTTTTGTTTTAATCAGAGGGAAAAGGAGCAGTTCCGCAAACTATTCATTGGCGGCTTAAGCTTTGAAACAACAGAAGAAAGTTTGAGAAGCTACTATGAGCAATGGGGAAAATTAACAGATTGTGTGGTAAGTTTTATGTGTGGTTAAATTTTTTTGACTACTTGATTTAAATTGTCTAATCCTGTGGTTTATAAATAGCAATTTTTATTTCTGCCAAGTTTTGAAAACGAAGAGGATGGTAAGACAAAATAATGATTGGCTTTTATTTTAATATTGAAATCCCATAAAGTGGTTTACAAATCATGATTTCGTTGGAGTGTGTCCACATTAAGCTAAATCAATAACAAATTCCTCTTAATATTTTTGGATTATATGCTGATGGTAAAGCATACACAATGCTACATAGTATGCCCCAGATGTAGTTCTATACTTCTGAAGAAATGTGACTAGTTAATCAAAATAATTCTGAGTTATTGAATGGTACAACTTTTTGATTTAGAATTTAAAAAATGTTAAGTTCTTGAGGTGTAAACTGTATATTTATTTTTTGGTGTATAAGTTGCACCCCCGCCCCCCCCCCCAAAAGTGGGTAGAAATGCCTGTGTTTTATACAGCAAATGTTGCCAAGCCTATGGCCACTCACCAGCCCCCATTGGGCCTCCGCCTCCCAACAATTTGCTTCCTTGCAGCTAACAGCCTGGTCACGTTCAGCACAGCCTGATTCAGCATGAGCAGCTGATTGGTGGTTGGATCTGCCTCCCAGAATACTGCCAATTGGCTGTTCCAGGCTCCGTGCGCCCCCGTTTTCAGCCCATTCCAATCAGAATCCCTGCTGTCTGGAACGGGCCGAAAATGGGATATGTGGAGATGATGATGGGCAATGGTGATCCCCAAAGAGGCAAATTGTTGGGAAGCATAGGCAGAACTTTTTTTCTTGTTTTCCTCCCCCAAAGGTAAGAGTGTTTTATAGTCCAAAAATATGGTAGATATGTCAAAGCTTTGATAGTACAGAAATTCAGAGTTAAGGAAATATATTTTATTTATTTATTGAATTTTTATTTTTATGAGTAACTCAAGGATTAAACATACTTAATACTTTCCCCACAACACAGACCTGTAAGATAAATTTCGCTAGAGAGTGACTGGCCCAAGGTCATCATAGTTTGGGGGGGGGGTGGATTCCGCCTGCAGTGTGATTAGATCTACCCTTTGGGGCTGCCCTGGCAACAGTGAACCATCAGCCTGTAGGGTCTATAACAATGGGTGGCAGAGGCTGTCGCAGCTGAAAATTGAGCTCTCTTTTCGCTGGCAGATAGTTGCAAGAAGCCATCACAACTGAAAACAACTCATGAGTCCCATTTTCACTGGCAGAGCACTTGGGCTGTCACAGGCAGTCCTGATACAAGTGACATCAAGGTGGGCACATGAGTTGAGCACTAAATACTATTTTTCTTAAAAAAATGTCAGGAAACAGGCTGTTTTCAGCCTCCAGTGGACCTCAGTGGGGTGGGGAAGGCCGTTTCCCGCCTCCCCAGGCTCCACACCATCTTTCTAGGAGCCTGGGAAGGGCGGAAAACGGATCCACCGTGCCAAAAACTGAGGGAGGGTGCCTAGAATTATGGGTGTGGGCGCACATGACCCCCTGCACTCGCTCCGCTTTTGGCACGCATTGGCAAAAAGGTTAGCCATCACAATGAAATGCAATATAAAAATGCAAATAATTTTTCTGCAGACCACCAGTTGATGACCGCTGTTTAAGAATGTGATATTTTGAGCCACAAATAGGCATTGAATTTCTCTTGAGAACCATGCTTATACCCAATATTCATGCAGGCCTTTAGCACAGTTATTAAATTTACCATTACATATTAATGTAACTGATGCTTTTGCCCCTATAATTTATTTAATTAAATTTATGCTTTAATATATATTGCCAAGTAAATATATTGAGAATGTAGTTTAAAGTGCACATATCAATAGTGAATTGTAAGTGTATACAAAATACCTATTTCAAATAATCAAAGGTAGATAATGTATACATTGCTGAGTTTTCCATTTAAAATAATTTAAAGAATATTATTGAAGGTGAATCAATTATTCATTTTTAAAAATTGTGGAAGGTTTCATTAATGATAAAAAGTATAAATGTTGGGAATGCTTGGCAATACTACTTCAATAACTTGAGATTTTTTAAAATTTGTCATCTTATAGGTAATGAGGGATCCTGCAAGCAAACGTTCACGAGGATTTGGTTTTGTAACATTTTCATCTATGGCTGAAGTTGATGCAGCAATGGCTGCCAGGCCTCATTCAATTGATGGAAGAGTAGTTGAACCAAAAAGAGCTGTAGCCAGAGAGGTAAGTTTTGAAGTGTGGAGCAGCATTACAAAATGCTTTTCTATCCTTTTATAAAGGCAGAGGTTTTAAAACATTTATAATAAATGGGGCAACATTTTAAGCTTTTCAGATGTTGCTAGATTCCAAATTGTAGATAATATACTTCATAAGAAAATAATAGTCAGGGATCTGCATATCATCACATCCAATAGGTAGAAAAATGAAAAATAATTTAAAGGTTACAATATTCAATAAATTAATAAAAAATAATCACTATTAAAACAATAATGGAGACCAAAGGTACAAATTCATTATAATAGGAAGAAATTTAGTAGTAGTTTAGAGCAGTGGAGGGCAATTCATGACCAGAATTATTTTAGTGTGCATTTTAAAAATACAATGAGAGCTGTCCTGACCTTGAAGCAAGGCTGCTTTGAGAAGAAACATTTCTATATGATTGGAATAAAAAATGTTTTTCAAATCCTTACCAATGATGTGCACAAGTCCATGGAATAAATCAGTTTCAAATTTCTCTCCTTTACCCAATACCAGAACCCCTTAATTTATATCACTATCAATTGTCCCCAGGGAGAAAGCTGATATCCGCCATTACCTTAGCATAGTCAGGTTTTCTTTTAAGTTTCAATATACTATTTTTTCAAGGAATCTGGGAAGCCTGGAGCTCATGTTACTGTAAAAAAATTATTTGTTGGTGGAATTAAAGAAGACACCGAAGAACATCACCTCAGAGACTACTTTTCAGAATATGGAAAAATTGATACAATTGAAATAATTACAGACAGACAATCTGGCAAAAAGAGAGGCTTTGGATTTGTAACTTTTGATGACCATGATCCTGTGGATAAAATTGTGTGTAAGTATCCAGAAATAGGTATGTGAGTGAGATGTTAGAGATTGTAGTTAAAATTATGTGTGTGTGAGTGAATTGTAGCCATTGCCAGATTGGGTTTTAGTAATAAAGTCATTTATGCTACAGTTACTAGTTATTTTTAGTTAGTCTGAAAGCAAGTTTGTTACCTTGCTACTTGCAAATTTAGGTAACAATCAGGCAAGTAATAAATACTTTGAATTGGTTAGCATTCAATAATAGTGTTTCAGTAAAGTGACTATACTTTAGTATTTAGAGAATTGATGGGGTGATACCAGACTTGGTAATTTTTTGACAAATCTTTGCTGAACAGTGATGTTAAAAATTAAATTCCTGCTTCAGAGCATGAAAGAGTGTAGAAAACGTTTATGACTTTAGATAGTTCAGGCATTCTGGATAGTCAGGTAGTTCACAATTGAACCCAAAAATTTTTTAGCTTAAGGAAAGTATTTGTTAAGTGACTTTTGCGCCATTTTATTACTTTTTTTGACATAGTTACAAGTGAATCACAATCGTTAAATGAATCATTTGGTTATTAAGCAAATCTGGCTTTCCCCATTGTCTTTGCTTGTCTACTGGGAAGGTTACAAATCATGATCATATAATTCTGGGATAGTGTAGCTGTGATAAATAACAGGTAGTCCTCAACCTATAGCCATTTGTTTAATGACTGTTAAAATAGTAATGATACTGAAAAAAATGCCATGACCATGTTTCACGCTTAACTGCTGGAGCATCCCCATGGTCATATGATCAAAATTTGGATGCTTGGCAATTGACTCATGTTGGAGTGATCCGGGTCATGTGATCACCTTTTGTGATCAGTCCAGCAAAATGAGTGGGGAACCCAGATTAACTTACTAACTTAACGACTAAATTGATTCATTTAACAACTCATAAGAAAAGTCATAAAATGGGTCAAAACTCACTGTACTGCAATCTTGAGAGAGATGGGAATGAGGAGGGAGGGAAATTGGAATGAATAGGAGGGAGGATCTGAGGGAAGTCCTCATCCCCTTGTCCCCCCTCCTGGTGGTCTCCCATCCTAGCGCTGAGGATGCTTTGCTTACAAAGCTGGGTCTCATCACATGGAGAGGAAGTGGGCCTCCCTCTGACCCATGCAGTTTGCCCTCCTGCACCCAGCATGAGCAACCTGTTCAAAGAGAGTGAGCACAGCAGCAACCACCTTGAGGAAGAGGTAAGTGCTCGGGAAAGCGGGGCTGGGCTGCGGGATCCTGGTGGCCCGGGAGCTCGAGGGCCAGACTGGGATCAGCAAGGGACAGCAAGGCTCCTGGTGGATGGGGCTTTGACACTCGCCCTCCCTGGTCTCGCCTTTCTTCGCTGGACACTGCCAGATCCCCCCTCCCAGCCTTGCCTGATCCCCCACAGGAGGTGGAGGATGGCTCTGTATGTGGAAGCACAAAGAAGAAAGTTTGCAGGAAGCTTCCAAATCAAACTTTGCCTTGACAGATCGGATGGTGGGGGTGTTGTGTGAGCAAAGCTGCCCCAACAAGCCAGCATCCTTACCACAACAATTGGAAATGGGGATTCCCTTTTGAGAAGGGCCAGCCTCCCTTGTGCACTGTTCCCCTGCCACCTCTTCTTGTTCTCCAGAGATCTGCCAAGGCAGAAGTTGGACTCAGGAAATTGCTTCCTGCAAAGTTCTTCCTCTACACTTCTACACATAGCAGCAGCATCCTCCCACTCTTGCTTTTCTGAGAGAGGGCACGGGACAGGAAGAACCAATTATATTTGGGACTGGGAGAAGGCTATCTACTTTGGCATGCTGTGCACATGCGAGCACACACATCCCACAAACAAATTTCAAGCTTGGAGACTTTCCCACATCTGAGTTTGAATACTGCCAATTATCCCTGGGCTTGGAAAAGGGCCCTTTCCTTCCTCTGGTTAAAAATCCCCAAATTTAGAGTGCAGTGTGTGTGCGCGCATGTGTGCTTAACTGCCGGCAGTTTGGCGAGGCTTCTGGGGCACCAAATTGTCCACATGTCGAGCTAGTCACGAGCTAGTGTGACTTGTTTCGTCTCAACCCAGCTGTCCTAAGTCAGCTCACCCAGAAAATGGTGTTGAGCTGGTCACGCCCACCCAGAAAATGGTGTTGAGCTGGTCACGCCCACCCACAGCAACCCGGCTGTGACCATCTGGCCACTCCCACCTAGCTGCTATGAGTCGCCATAGTCTTACATGCAAATCGCTCTTTAAGGGCAACCATAATGCTGATGCAGCCCACTCATGATATAAATGAAAACAAGTTATAGGTTACTTTTCGTTGCAGTTGTAACTTTGGTCATTAGACAAATTATTACAAGCAGAGCTCTATCTGTACTTCTAAAAATTGCTGAGTCTACCCAAATTGATGTGTAAAGCTCTAAAATTTAGGGAATATTGGCTGCATGCCTGAAATTTACAGACTGCAGCAAAACTTCCTGCTACCTTATGAGAATTATTGAAGTTTGGATGAATAATACTTTTAAAACTAACATAGATGTATGAAAATGAAATGATGAGATTCACCCATCCTTCATATGCAATTATTTAAAAAATAATCTTCCAACCTGACATAACCAGTGATTCAATTGAATTACCTCTCCTGATTACAATTAAATTCTGTTTTGCTAATGAGCTTGGTTGCTACTCTGTGAAATTTAAGTTGAGATTTTTATTCTTTGTCTAAAATTTTATATTTTAACAGTACAGAAATACCACACAATCAATGGACATAATGCAGAAGTAAGAAAGGCTTTATCAAGGCAAGAAATGCAAGAAGTTCAAAGCTCAAGGAGTGGAAGGGGAGGTATGTTTGAACTGCATTATATTTAAATTAGTTATTTTTAAGAATAATATATGAGGTCATTTAAAAAAAAATACTTACAGGTAATTTTGGCTTTGGAGATTCACGTGGAGGTGGTGGAAACTTTGGTCCAGGACCAGGAAGCAACTTCAGAGGTGGATCTGGTAAGTCAGAAAATTACTCGTACAATAAAGACGTCCTAATAGCTTCCATTGCATATTTTTGATCCAAGACTTCATAAAATTAACAGCTAAAAGTAAATCCTGACAGCCAAGCAGACTTGTTTTATAAGACTGACTCACAATGAAGGTAACTTAAAAATGGTTTCTTCCACAGATGGCTATGGAGGTGGTCGTGGATTTGGTGATGGATACAATGGATATGGAGGGGGACCAGGAGGTTAGTATACTGAATATTTTTTATTTTTGAGATATTGAAATGATTTTAAAAATAATAATGAAATAGCATCATTAATACAAATTACTTAGTGGATTCATCTAAAAATTAATATGTAAGTATTGGAACTCCCAATTAGATTTATGTCTGCTTTTCTATTTAAGTTTTAAATATTCATAATAATGATAGTCATGCTTTGTCTAAAATCTATTGTAGGTCATGCATGTATTGTCTAATATAATTTGATAATTCTTCTAAGTTCTGTTCAGTTTTATACATGTGTAAATACTGATTGAGAGCTAGTTTGGCTTAATTGAGGCACCGTGCTAGGAATCAGAAGACTATGAATTAATAGTCCTGATCTAGGCATAAAGCCAGCCAAATTATTTTGGGCCAGTCATTCATAGACAACACTAGGAAGAAAGCAAACTGTAACCAACTTATAATATTGCCAAGAAAATTGCATGGACTGGTCCAGGTTCTAGAAGTCAAGGCTCATTTGAAGGTACCCAGATTAATGTAAAATATGTTACAAGTATTGTCATATTATAGAATAATAATATAATATACTATTACATACGTATTCCAGCAAGCAATAACTAATGCATTATTCAACCAAGGCATAGACATTGCTTACATAAACTTAACTTCAATTAATATATAAAAACAATATTACAATAATACAGCCAGTGGGATATGAATATAAAAATATGTCAAACAACAATAGATTTGACGAGCAAAATTCAAATATGGGGAAAGGAGCATAAATTCAAAGCTAGGCTTGCAGCCAAACTTTTTGGTCAGAAGTTATTTTCTAATTTGAAAGCAGGACTAAAAAGCAATTACTTCCTACCGTGATAAATTATCGCCAGAAAAAAACCCTCTTTGTTTATTTGGATATTTCCAATAAAAATTCCAAATTGTCCCATTATAGTTAATGAGATCCCCATATTATGATCATGTAATTTCTATCTTAACATGATTTCATTTTATGTAGATAGTTATAGTACAAGTGTATTTATGTAAGTCTTATATTAAAACAGGTGGCAATTTTGGAGGCAGTCCTGGTTATGGAGGAGGAGGAAGAGGTGGATATGGTGGAGGAGGACCTGGCTACGGCAACCAGGGTGGGGGCTACGGAGGTGGATATGACAACTATGGAGGAGGTAATGATTATTTAAATATTTGAGAATAGTTTCCTAAACTAGTTAAGAAATATGTATTGTTCATACCTAAATTTCAGAAAACACCTTTGCATGACTTCACAAAACATTACTGGAGTTAATGGCCAATAATGTCCATAAATTATTTTTATAATTATATTTTATATTTCTTCTTTCATCCTACACATGTAAACCTCAAATACTAGGCAAAGTTAATTAGCAAAAATGTTAAAATATGTAAAATTATTCTACTAATAGTACCGTGTTTTCACCAAAAATAAGACCTGGTCTTATTTTGTTTTGAGCTTGAACATAAGCACTGCCTTATTTTTGGAGAGGTCTTTTTTTTAAGTGCAGGGGGCAGCGAGCATGGGGACCAATGGGAGTGTGAGCGCCTGTCTGTTCCACTCTGCTTGCCCACAGCTGCAACAGGCCAAGCTGTCTGCATACCCCAGGGTCCACTCAGCCTGCCTGCTGGCCCAGCCAATGCTGGGATACTTTTCAGCTGTGGTGGCGTGCCAAGAACTAGGCCCCAATTAAGGCTGCAGGTAATGGGATAGAGAGGGCCAGGCTGATGGTAGCTGACCAAATGCTTTTCATCCAGAGGGAGACGAAGCTGGGGGTGCTTTGAAACAGAGCTAATAGCTCAGTTTCAAACTGACCCTTTGTAAGCACATAAAGCTTTGAGTCTCTGTCGGGGCAAAAAGTGTTTGGTTGCATATGGGCACTTGGGAACAGTAATTTGCTCCACTCTGTCCCACCACTTCTCAGTTTACCTGCGGCCGTACCAAGCAGCCATCCGCTTAGGGTGTCAGGATCACCTACCTCCTCCATGCTTCTGCTTGCTGCCAGTGCTACTGTACAAGCCTCCCGTGAGTCAGGCAGACATGCAACATGTCCGGATCTCCTATGTGTCCCCCCCCCCCCCCAATTCTTTCTACACTTGCTGGTATTTGTATGTGCTTGCTACTTCTTGGATTGCCCACGCTATCTCCCTCCAGGATTATTTTTGGGGAAACAAAATATAACTACTGTTATAATACAAGGTTGTATTGAAATGTTAAGAACGATACCAAACCTTTCTTACATTGCCAGTTTATTTTCTTATTAAAAACAGCTGTCTTACATGCTTGATTACACATCTTGTATTCACAGTAAAATTATCTTTGATATGAACAAAATATTTTTTTTATGCAGGCAATTATGGAGGTGGGAATTACAATGACTTTGGAAATTATAACCAACAGCCTTCAAACTATGGTCCAATGAAAAGTGGAAATTTTGGTGGAAGTAGGAACATGGGAGGACCATATGGTGGAGGTAACATTGAACAAAAAGTATTTTCGGGTTTCTTATCACTTCATTGATTAAACTAACAACAGAACAAGTGAGGTAGAACTATTTTTCTAAGCTGCTCTTTTTTATTAATGTAAGCCAACAAGTTAACTACTTCTGAAGTAATGTTGCTCCTAAGATTTAAGCATCCTCCATAAACTACAATTTTATTCAGTAGAAAATAATTTGAATTGGACAGTCCTGAACATTATGTATTCAGTTATTTTTTTAAAGTTTTCCTTGATTAATTAAAACAATAAGAGATATGCTCATTTAGAGCATTTAGTTCTATGAATGTAATATATTCATAGAATTAAATGAAATTTGGCAAAATAAAGAGAAATCATTTAGGGGAAAGTTCTGTTACTAATTGTTTTCTGTTTTTACTAACACAGGAAACTATGGTCCTGGTGGAAGTGGTGGAAGTGGGGGATATGGAGGGAGGAGTCGTTATTGAACTTCTGTAAGCTTTTCATGGGTGAGTGTACATTTAATATAAAATTGCAGTTTTTCTTAGTTTTAGCTGCAGGGGTAAAAGCTTTTTAGGGTCATATTATCTTTCCTTAAAAAAAAAATTGGGATAACTTCATAACCTATTTTTTTACTCTTTACTTCTGTTGAAACAGGCTTCACTGTATAAATAGGAGAGGATGAGCCCAGAGGTAACAGAACAGCTTCAGGTTTTCGAAATAACTTTGTTAAGGAAACACTTATCTCAGTCATGCATAAATATGCAGTGATATGGCAGAAGACACCAGAGCAGATGCAGAGAGCCATTTTGTGAATGGATTGGATTATTTAATATCATACCTTACTGTGGAGGAAGGATTGTAAAAATGCCTTTGAGACAGTTTCTTAGCTTTTTCATTGTTGTTTCTTTTTAGTGGTCTTTGTAAGAGTGTAGAAGCATTCCTTTGATAATGTTAAATTTGTAAGTTTCAGGTGACATGTGAAACCTTTTTTAAAAAAATTTCTCTAAAGTTTTGAAAAGCTATTAGCCAGGATCATGGTGTAATAAGACATAACGTTTTCCTTTGAAAAAAATTTTAAGTACGTGTGTAGAGTTAAGAAGCTGTTGTACATTTATGATTTAATAAAATAATTCTAAAGGAAATGTTGTGTAATTATAGATTTATTTAAAATATATTGTAAATTAAGGCAAGGAGTGGGTAGTAGAAGGTCCCACAAATACTATAAATTTGTTTGTTGTACATGTAATATGTTGGTTAGATAATGTTTTCTGTAAATTACCAGATTAATAACTAGATAACTTAAGGGATATCTCTGCAAAGAGAAACACCTTTTTAGATCTTTTAGATGCTGCTGCTTCCATGGCAAGTAAAGGAAATATCCCCAGCGAGGTACTGTTCCAGGGACACAGGTCTAGTGCAAAAGAACTCTTGAGAACGGCAATTAAGTTCAGCCAGTCTTAAAAGCTGTGCTGTACTTCTCCAAAGCTTTAACTACAGTAGTTTTAAGGATGCCAACGAGAGCTGAGGGTTCTAGAGCAAAATAGTTCTAAGCTTCAGTTAAACCACTTTAGGTAAGATCTTATTTACTTTTCCTTTTTTAATATTCAAAAAACAAGAACTAATACTATATATGACAGTGTACTGTTTCAGTATAGTGGTTATATTATCTAGTTTAACATAGCAATGAACCAAGTTAACAATTGTGCACTGGAAAATTTAACAATTCTTGTTTTGGTTTGGGGGTTTGGGTATTCGTTCTATTTTTCATTTGTTGGTTGGTTTCATTTTTTGCTATTATATTTTGATTTATTTTTAACTTCAGCTGCTTAACCTATCTTTTCCCTACTGGAATCTAGCTTTATGCACCATGGACAAGCAATAGACCTGCTGAGCAAATGAACCAGCCAAGTGTCCATTAATGATTTGCAAGGGTTCCATCCCTGCTATGGGTAGTTAAAATGGTATGTTGCAGCTTTTTGAAATGGTACAATATCTTATTTTACCAATTCTTATATATTAAAACCTAAAATTGAAAACTGGCTCTTCAGAATAGGACAGTTGGATATCTGTTCTTCGATACAACATATTTTGTATTATAGAACTTGGGTTTGAATTTTATGTGTGAAAGTGAAGTTTATGCAGACTTTGCATACAGAATTCTTCCCCTCACTGGTCTTGTCAACACTATAGCAATATGAATTTAGCGAATTGAAGTATCATGTGGTATTCAAATTCAGCTAGCTTACAAAGAGTGTTTTCGTTGCATATATTCTAACACTGCACAATGTAAAATTATTCTGTTACTGAATGCTGTAATTCCCCTCAATATGGTGGACATGGATTTTTTTTTTTTACTTAGAGGGATATTCTGTTTAATATAAATTAAGATTTTAACTCCAGAATCATCACAGTTTTAAATATTCTTATATTACCCTTTAAAAATTCTATGTTGGCTTTATACAACTCGCACACTTAAAAGCCTGGCCTTGCCTCATCGTTTTCTAGCCATTTGCTGAATTTTTTCCTGTGATACAATGAGGCTTCTGATAAACTTCTTCAGATACTTTCTTTTTCTTTGGCAGGAAGGTGCCAATGCTGCAGGTAACTAATGAAGAAGTGGTCAACCACAGAAACTTCAAGAAATAAGATATTTCTTTTCTCTTCACAAAATAGTTGGTTTACTGATTTTTATTAAACCCTTTATAGTTGATGATGCAGCCTATTGTAAATTAGTCAAAGCTTTACAAATGAAAGGTATACTTTTTCTAAAATTCAGACTGACAGGAAATCAAGACTAATGTAAATATTGGATTTTTATAAGTGTTATAATAAACTTTTGTTTAAAAATATTCCTAGTCTGATACCATATTACCATTTTATGCACATCCCAAATGATAAAAAAACAGTTCTTCAATGCCGTGTGAGCTGTACCAAATTGCATACTTGTCGGCATCATCGTGCGTACTAATATACTGCTGTAAGACATGAAAAATAGGGCAAAATGGAACTAAGAAGAGAGGAAATACTATACTTAATTAGAGTTTTCGGGATCATATCTATCCATGTATCTTCCTTTTTATGCCCAATGACTGCAGCATAGTATAACAAGCATAGCAGAATCAATAATCAGCTGCAGAAATAATTCTATGAAAATCAAATATAACAGGGAAATACTACAGCATTCTACAAAATGGGACATATTGTCCCTTAGCATCTTAAGTAAATGTTACTTTTTAGCATTAAAAAAAACCCATTGCCTATACTGCTAAGGAAAGCAATATTTTGAAAAGGTGCTTGTTCAGTGAAAGTTGAAAAGGCACTACGTAAGACTAGTTACAAAAATGAGTTGGGCAAAATTGCTGGTAATTTTATTTGTATATACTTTATGTTTGAGTACATAATACAATTTAGACAATAGCAACTGCAATGCATAGAAATACCAGTATTTATGTCTTTTGCCACTCTTTAAAAACTATAAAGTTAAAATTTAAAGCAACCAGGTTTGTAGAAGATAATGCCAAATTTTTCAATCATTTTGAAGAATGGCATTCTTATGAATAGAAAGGTAAAATCAATGGAATATAGTTAATTTGGTCTTTATAGGTAATAATAGAATAATTGCATATGCCCATCATGAACCCTAATTCCTCTTAAAAGCATATTTTATGAAAAACATTGAATTAAGTAAGTACAAGGCTGGTACAAATAGTTATTGACTTAATAATGCTTAGCAACTCCCACAAACGTTTTAAAATCTAGCACTTTCACATGACTTGCTTAATAACCAGCATGACTTACTACCACAATTGTGAGCTGAATTAAGGTCATAGCTTTGTGTTTTATATATATAAAATATTTTCCCTAACAATAATATGGGAATCTTAAGCAGATTGGAAATGATACTTACGAAGTCAACTGTTTTTACCAGAGGTAGATTTGTGTAAAATAGCTAAACCAGTACACCTAGGTAAATAAATATTGGTTCACTGGGTTATGAATTTTAACAGTATTATACAGAATTATCATTGGAATTAAGAAGAACACCCCTCCCCCCCCCCAAAAGTAATGACAACTGTAAATATGTATAAATTGTATACAATACATACAAAAGCTCAATTTTCTGTAAAAAGTAATTCTGTGCTATTTCTTGTAGCTTATTCAGTATATAAATAGATGTTCTTGCATTTCAGTGCATACAAGTCAGTGCTCATGGAATATATGGGTAGAATTGTAATGCTAGTACTTCAGGAACTTTCCCAATATAAAATACAGTGTTTCTAATGTATGGAATTATAAAACATTTGTAGGGAGTGCACTTTGTAATGATAATGTTTCCAAATAAGTAGCACAAGTAGATGTATTTGGGCTACAGCAGCAATTGGGATTCTGTCAGTGAGTAATGCAATCATAAAGCAACATAACAGGACTATTTGTTAAGGACATTATGATTGCTGGGGAGACATGGTGCTACATAGTACCGATGGGTGAAGAAGAAACATGGGAAAGGTATGGAAGTTGCAATTGACAATCACATAACTGGATCATGCCAGTTGTCAAGTGGCCAAATTTTGATAACATAAGCATGGTATATTGTGATGATTATGTGAAGATTGGTAATAGGTCACTTTTCAGTGCTGCTGTAACAACAAATTGTAAGTTGAGGACTATCTATACCAGTGGTTCTCAATGTGGTGCCCATGCCCTCGGGCAATTTGATTTTTAATGGGAGCAACTCAAAAATAAGCTATTAACTGAATTTTTGAAAGCCCGTTAATTGTTCTTATATTTCTGATGAAACAGTTGTGTTTCATTTACCTATTGTCTTCCTTAAAAGTACATTTTCTAGGGCCTGATCTGAAAAGGATATCCCAGCTGGGGGGGGCATGGGGGGGAGAACAACTGCCAGCCAATCAGATGTGTTCTCACTAAGGATCATGGGACTGACAGAGTCAGTCTTTTTTTCCTGTGGGCTTTGCTGCATGGTGGTTGCAGGGAGAGCTGCTCTGTGGGGAGACAGGGTGGATGGCTGCTGGATCTGAAGCCCAGTAAGGATACAGAACCAGGACCAATGTTTAATAAGAAATAGTTAGATTTAGTTATTTTTAGTCTGTTTTCTCATTAATCTGCAGGTTCAAAGTGAGTGGGCAGGCATAGGTTAAAACACTTCCTTCGTTCATGACAATCTTATTCATAAATTAAGCTAAGGTTTTTTAGATTTACCTTTCTGTGCCACCTTCTTTTAATATCACTGAATGTGGACACTTGAGAGTAAAGCTGACTAATTTGGGGCCTAATATAAACTCCAGCAGCATGAAGCACAAGGATCTCACTAAAGCTGCAATCATACATTTTCCTGGGAGTAAACCCCATTGAAGACTAGTACTTACTTCTGAGTTGACATGAATAGGATTACATTGTAAATATCCTGAGGTGAACTCAAATTGTATTTTGAATTTCTTAAGTTCCTCAGTATTTCCACTGTCTTTCATTCTTTTATTTTTCTCTT